ATGATTTGTTTATTTCAAATACCTTCTTTAGACAGCATAACAGACGGCTATACACATGGACCTCGCCAGATGGAACACATAGAAATCAAATTGAGCACATCTGTGGAAAGAGAAGATGGAAAAGATCCATATCATTAGTGAAAACAAGGCCAGGGGCAGACTGTGGAACAGACCATCAATTACAGAAATGTATAGATAACTAGAAAAAGGCCTGCAAAATTTGTAAAAGAGTTTGGGGAAAAGCAGGAGGAGGAACAAATTTGGAATGCAGCCAAAAAAAATAATGCTATCTGTAATACTCTATTTTTCAAAGGGAGAATGAATTTATAGCATATGTTAGAAGCTCTGGTGGAGCTCTAGGATAAGCATTGGACTGCTAACTACATGGTTGGTGTTTCAAACCCACTAGCTTCTTACTGGGGGAAAGATGAGGCTGTCTGTGTCTGTAAAGATGTACAGTCTAGGAAACCCTATATAGGAAGTGAATTTGTTTTCTAAAAATCTAACACTCATTAAAAATACAAAAATAAAGAGAACTATAGTTGGCAAGGGGCCCTGGTAGCGCAATGGTGAAGTGCTCAACTGCTAATTGCAAGTTTGGTGTGGCAGGATGTGGCAATCTGCTTCGATAAGAGCTGCAGCCTTGGAAACCCTGTACTGGAAGGCTGCTAGGAGTCTGAATGGACTGGGATACACGGCTAAGGGAATTGTTTGCAAAAAAAAAAAGTGTAAAAACCAATCCAGTTACATGGTTGCAATTATCAGTATTTTGTGATGCAGTAGCGCTGTGGGTTAATGCACCAGACTGCAAAGTCATTTGAACTGAAAGGTCAGCAGTGTAAGCTCACCAGACACTCCATGGAAACCCTATACAGGGTCGCTATGGGTCAGAATCGACTCCACGGCACTTAACACCAATAACAGCAGCACTGTATCATTCGTTCTGTTGCCAAACAACTAATAACATATGTAAGAAGCACTTTCAAATAGTGTTTCATTGTGGTTAGCAGAGCGCCAGCCTTAGTTAATTTTTTGGCATTAATAATTTTAAATATTAATGCTTGTGACCTACAAGAATGAGGTCCCATGGTAAATGTAAAGATTCTAGAGACGCTAATTTGGAATGAGTTATTTAAAGGCCTATCTCAAGGGACAATTTGAGAATATTACTAATTCCAAGTTTGCATCAATTCATTGTTGGAATTAGTGCCCATTATTTATAAAGCTCTGTGGCGCTGTGGGTTAATGCGCCAAACTGCAAAGCCGTTCTGCAAGGTCGATGGTTCAAGCTCACCAGCTGCTCCTTGGAAACGCTATAAAGGGTCGCTATGGGTCGGAATCCACTCGACGGCACTTAACAACAACAACAGCAGCAAATTGTCTAAAAGGAGTTCTGGTTGCGTAGTGGTTACGAGTTGGGCTGCCAACCTCAATGTCAGCAGTTCTAAACTACCAGCTGTTCCGCTGGGAGAAAGATGAGACGTCTGCTCCCTTAAAGATTTACTGCCTCGGAAACCCTGTGCAGGGTCACTATGAGTCAGAATCGACTTCATGGTACTCAACAACAACAACAGATTGTCTTAAGGGAGTCCTGGTGTGGCGCCCTGGGCTAATGCTCTGGACTGCAAAGTTGATGTGAACTGCAAGGTCAGCGGTTTAAGCTCACCAGCGGCGCCCTGGAAACCCTACCTGGGTGTCTGTGGGTAAGAACTGACTCGATGGCACTTTACAACATATGGTCTAAGGAGTCCTGCTGTGGCGCTGTAGGATAAGTACTTGACTGCTAAGTATGAGGTTCGCAGTTCAAACCCACTAGCTGTGGATTCAAGTAAAATGAAATCTTTGACAACTTCAGTCTTCTGTCCATTTATTATGATGTTACTTATCAGTCCAGATAAAGTTAGAAAGGCGTGGAAATTTTAAAAAAGAGAGAGAGAGAGATGAAGGGAGAACGAAGAATTGCTCACAAGGCAGATGAAACTAAGGAAAACCACAGTAACGATGTTGCTGCGGTTGTTGTTCCTACCCTTCGAACGTTGAAAACTTGGCAGGTATGTTGTTAGAGCTTTCAGTGAATTGTTTCCTGCTATCCTCACATCTCTACTGGCCTAGGTTCTAGTCGTATTCTCGTGTTATACAACAGTTACAGTATAGAGAGAGTCCTGGTGTAGCTGGAGGATAAACAATGGCTGGCTAGCCAATAGTCAAACTCACTAGTTGCTCTTTGGAAATCCTACACAATGTCAGTCCAAAATCAATCCACGGCATTTAACAACAAAAGCATAGAGAGATTATATAATTTTCGCAAGTTCTTATAGCTGGGAAGCGGCACAGAAGGAATCCAGACTCAGGTGGTTAGCTGTTACAGTTAATTTCCAAAGCGGGCTCTAGCTCGGGTCCTTTCAGCTTGTCCTCAGCTCAACTGTGGGGTCACGCAGGCACCACTCGCCACTCCCTTTTTCTTCCCAGCTGTTCTGAAAGCTCCACCTCATTCTTAACAGCGTCCCTTCTCCATGGAGACCGGCGTGAGGTGGGACTTCCTACCTTGCGCACAAGCACTTCCGTTGAGAGCCGGAAGCGTCGTGATTCTTCGGGCTGTCTCTGCGAGTTTAGAGTTTAAACAGGTTTTGAGTCGCGGGAACTTAATAGGCGCCTGCAGCAGCGTGAGTGTGCCCGTGACGGGTACCAGCTTCTGGCGGACTGATGCTGACCCCCGCGTTCGACCTCAGCCAGGACCCCGACTTTCTCACCGTTGCCATCCGCGTGCCCTACGCTCGGGTCTCGGAGTTTGATGTTTATTTCGAGGGAGTCGACTTTAAGTTCTATGCCAAGCCCTATTTTCTGAGGTTAGTTGTGGTCGCAGGAAGGGCGGGTTTATGAGATTCAGTCATTCATTTGTTTGTAAACTGCTTAGTGAGCGAGGATGGAACCGTGAGGAAGTGGCGGTTTCACCTCTCGGTTTCACCTCATTTTAGTTTTCTGCCTCTGCTTCGGAAGTAGCTTGAGGCGTGCGTTCTAGATGCTGCGATCGCTCGTTCCCTTCGTAAATCCCACATTCGAGAGGTTTAGGAGCCTCCATAGGGGTTGGTTGAGTGCTCAGTATATAGCAGGTGAGCGCGGGGTTCCGTGGAAAAAAACACTTGTGAACAGCGGACCGCAAGGTCGACGTTTCGACTCCACCAGCTGCTCCGCGGGAGAAAGACGAGGCTGTCTGCCCCCGCAGACACTGAGCGCCTTGGAAAGCCTACACGGGGCCCCTGTTCTCGGTATTGGGGCTGTGAACCAGACAGACTTCTCCTCAGGCCATGAATTCTAGCAAAACGGAACCACGTGCTAGAAAGGCAAAGGGAACTAGCGGTGTTGGGTCACCTGCTTGGGGTCAGTGCCCTGGAGAGTACAGACGCGGGAACCCTATGGGGGACGCTGTGTCGGAATCTGTTTTGTTTTTTGTTTTTATTTATTGTTATTGTATTGTTAACAGTTAAGGAAAGTGTACCTGAAGAGGTGATGTTTGAGCCCAGACCTGAAGAATGGGAAGAAGGCGATGCTAGTGGTGGTGGTTGTTGTTAAGTGTGGTCGAGTCGGTTCCGACCCATAGCGACCCTGTATGGGGTTTCCAAGGAACAGCTGGTGAGCTTGAACCACTGACCTTGCAGTTCAGACGACTTTGCAATCTAACTCATTAGCCCACAGTGTCACACCAGGATTCCGATGCTAGTGGTGGTTGGTGGTTATGTGCCGTGGAGTTGGTTCCGACTCATAGCGACCCTGCACAGGGTTTCCGAGGCTGTAAATCTTTACGGAAGTAGAAAGCCTCATCTTTCTCCCACGAAACAGATGGTAGTTTCGAACTGCTGACCTTGAGGCTCACAACCTGAATCGTAATCAGTGCGCTGTCAGCAAACGTTTATTGAAATTTTGCTGTATGAAGGAGTCTGGGTTAGCGCTGTAGGATAAGCAAGGTAGGTTTGAACCAGAAGGTTCAGACTCCCCAGCTTCTCCTCCGAAAACCCTCTAAATGGTCGCTGTACGTCAGAGCCGACTCGAAGGCACTTAACGACAGGACTTTTATTTCTTAACTTTTTGAGAAAGTGCCATACCATTTTCCACAGCATTTTACAGCCCCATCAACTGTATAGGAGGGTCCCAGTCTCTCCATACCCTCGCCAGCATTTGTTGTTTACTGCCTGTGTGAACTTTGTCAGTCTGGGATAAGATGATTTCTCATTGTTGTTTTAACTGGCAGCTCTCTAATGGTTAGTGATCTTGGGCAATTCTTCATATGTGTCTGGGCGGCCTGAATGTCGTT